GGGGGGGGGGGGGGGGGGGACTCGGATGTCATGCTAATTATGAGCTTTAGCACTAGTTTTTGGCTGTGTATTTTTAAGCATCTGAGTAAAACATTTTTATATATAAATTATATATAGTTATTTATTATTTATATATAATAAAGTACATTAATATGTGATATATTAAATGAAAAATGTATTGAGGGCTGCTGGGATGATGCAATTTTGTAGGCCAACCCAAAAGTTGGCATCACCCTGGTTCCCTTACCCAAAAGGCCAACAACATTTTTCCATTGGCATTTGGATTATAGCTGAAAATATCTTGATGAAGAAAACAAACTTTTGTTGGTCACAGAGCTAGGGCCTGTTCTTCGTACATCGCTAACTCAGTCAGCTGGATTTGATCGTTGAGGATTTGGCATGATCTTGGATTGTTTGGTTCTTCGAAGCTCATCCCGGAGTTGCTGTCATAGCAACAGGTCCGCAAGCTTAAACCTGCTCGGGTGCATGCTTATTTCATGTAAACAGGATTAGATTGCATCTTTTAAAGCAGAATTGATACTTAAAATATGTCCGCTACTTTATTACAAGAGTACCCTACTAATCCAGGGACAATCATTTAAAATAATAATCATTTAAACGTTTATTTAAAGATAATATATTGTGTAGTCTTTAATACTATAGACACAGCTAGTTTTACTCACTGAAAGATTTATTCTTAATAAAATTATTACTTCACAGTTGTATTCGAGTCTTACACACATTCTATACAGATAATGTAGAGTCGTGCATTAATTAGAGTGATGACAGATATTATGGGAGTGGCTTGATGGAGCGCAGGAGATGCAGATAACATGATCTTGACCCTTAAGAAACTTTATTTAATGCTGTCACGTAACAAATCTGTTCAAATATAAAATTAGATGAATTGCTAATTACTACAATGAAATAAAAATGTAAAGCCTGTACAAATATTACAAATCGTGAATATAAATAATTGGGAATCATGTAAAAACTTAAAATAAAATAAACAGTGCACATTTTATTTATCTCTTATAACATTTATGTAGTTTTGTTCACTTGGCTGTTTCCTTATAAAAGTCAAAAAATGTGTCAAGTTTTTCGTCAGGTGTCTTTTTTTAATTATATGATGTCATGACGTTGCTGTCTTGCCACCAGCCAATCGCTGCATTGCTGATCGTGGTTTCGAGTATCGATACATAGCCCCTTTTAAACCAACCCATAAACGTGCAATTATCTCAGATAACTCAATCCAGCCACCCTAATCATCAACAACAGGTGCTTTCGAAGAACCAAATTAGCCAGATCCTGATTAGCGCGATGATATCACCTTGGATGTGACATTTCATCTCGGATGTAATAAGCGACGTACGAAGAACGGGCCCCTAATCTATGCATTTTGAAGCCTAAATACAATCATTACAAGCAAAAAGCTAAAGTTAGGCTATAAACTAACTACACCACAGTTGCATGATTTCAACTTTATGACCACTAAGGATCTGACAACTCCTTCAGTCTTCATTTTTTAAATCTATAAGTTTGAGTTAGAATAGTTTTCAAGATTATAAACACAACTAGGCTTTAAAAGCAGACTAGTGAGCAGAGTTTTTCTGCTCAGCGTGATGACATTTAATGTCTCAGACAACCTAGTCTCATCATTCAACTTTAACAACTGCCTTTTTCAAGGCATGTAAAAGCTTCAAAAAACGTTATGAGTGGGGTATTACTGATGTGTTGATGGTACTGGTCTGCTAAATGACCTTATGCCAGACTTTTAACCATTAACCTGTTCAAAAATCCAATTGTTTTAAGGACTATGAAACCATAAGTGGAATACACACAACTTGTAAAATCTGGAAAGACTGTAAAATACTAGGCATCATATAGTTGCCGAATTTGTAAATTGTTACAGAGGAAAAACAAAACATACGCTGGGCATCATACACTACACGACTGAGAATCACACACTACCAGACTTTCAGGTTTTTATGAACACTTTTACATTATTTTGATAGTCAGCTTTAGATATTCTACTAACTATATGTAAATGTGTAACTACATGTCAACTAACTATAATATTAATAGACTGTTAGGTTAGGGTTAGTAGAATAAGTACGTTCAGATTTACTTCTATTTAGTAGAATGTGTTGGGGCACCATCAAAATAAAGTTAGCAGATATTAATCAGACAGTCTACTAATACTCCAATGGTAGTTGACATGTAGTTGCAAAGTTACTATACTGGACTATCAAAGTGGACCATTACCAAAATGTTTTCTAAAATTGGCTCAAAATATCAAACATGATTGATATCCTCTGACTTGACAGAATCATAGTCTAAAGCTAAAAAAATCAAAAGTCTGTGCCCATCATACACTACATGATTTTCTGTGAAATCATGAGATGTAAGGATGTAAAATGTTTTCCCTATACGCAAAGTACGCAGATTGCGCAATGTCAGCCTTAGCGAGTTTTCACTTAAACACAGTCAGATATGTCTTAAGTGAACATACAGATGGGAAAGTAATCAAATTCTTGTCAGTATTTTATCAGTATATTTTTACCTTTGCATTTGGTCTTAAAGTAACAGCAGCCTAATAAACTTGCTGATCATTTATGTGATTTTGTTTTTTTTATCAATGCATTGACAGGAGCCCCCGACAACGTTTTGCTTTAGACCCGTCAATGACCCCCATACGCTTCACTGTCAAACAACAACAGTGAGTTGAAACAATCAGTAATACAATACAAAAGAAGAAAATTACAAACAATAGCATGAATACAATAATAAATAATAAAAAACGATACAAAGGAAATACAAAATGAGCCTCCTGAAAATAATAGCCTACTGTATATTGTATATACATTGTTATTCCAGCCTAAGATCTTACAATTTTCCCTAAAGCTAAACAGTGTGCTAGCATCCACCAGAACCCAGAAACTTAAGGGCCCTAGTGGTTGTCTTGTGCTGGTATGGTGCATAATTTACCAAAGACTGATGGTATTGATGGTCCATAACTACACCACTGCTCCCCTCTAGTTGAATTCCATAATCTGAAAATGCACATACACCCTACAAAGTTAATAAACGACCCCACTAATCATGTTTCCCCCCCACTCTTTTTATCTCTTGCTCCCTCTTTCACACACTAACACACATAGACGTACATGAAATAGCTGAGTGAAACAAAAGCGGGAACCTTCACACCACTTGGCCGGCACATGTGGACAAGCCAGTGCCGACTGGCTGCTTCACTGTCACCGGCTGATAGCCAGGCTTTAATGGAAAAGATACAGCCCAGCCAAAGACTGGGAATCATTTCTACGATAAAGTTATATGTTCAGCCTTGAACAACTGAGAGATAATGTTTGGCTTCATTATAATTCCCAGTGTGTTTAAAAAGACAGCCCATAATGCAAACAAAAGCAGATGAAATTTGAAAAGTATTATCAATATTGCAGATAGCGGATGCCCTTTCCAATCAGAAAAAGCGTATCTCGCATAGCAAATTTATGGTTGACTAGTTCATTCGTTTCTATTAGACTGGTGTATGTTTCTCTCTTCCTCATATATATTTATTTGGAATTTATGAGAGGGCCAAACAAACTGTCATTAGATAGTCCTTTAATTCACTAAGCTGGCCTGCTAAAGGTAGCTGGGTACATTTAGAAAGCATTAGTTTGCTCTGACTGATATTTTTCTGAACTCCCTCCAAAGGACCATCCGTCACGTGCTCCGGCCATAGTCCAGCACGCTTGTTGCATCGCTCTACGTTTATGTGTGTGTGTATGACATATAAAGACCCCGTGTGTTTCTGTGAGCAATTCTCGCTGTGTGCACCACTATGGCTCCTTCACATGCCACTCAACGCATTCTGCGTCTCTCTTAAATAGCAAGCTGCTGGAGCAAAATAATTGTGATTTTCCAGCCACTGGGCCTAAAGTCATATAACATAATGAAATGTCTAAAAAAGCGAGGGGGTGGGGGTGGGTTTGGGTTGTGTATATATATTTCTACATGGTGCTCAGGGTTTGGTTGAGTGCACGGGAGGTCTGCTGAATCAAATGCTGTGGCACTTGAATAATTTACCGTATACCTTGGAAAGTGTGTGTTCATGTGTGTCTGAGTGTGTAGGGGTGTTCAAGAATTCTAGCTAGGTGAAATGTCTAAATATTGTATATGCCCACTCCAAAGTGTGTTTGTGCATGCTGTGATATATGTCCTGGGGATCTTGATACAACATTCAATACAGTCCAGGTGGACAGATTAGGCTGCTAACAGAGGAAGCCAAGGCGCGGTAGGAACCAGTGATATGTGCCTCAGCACTAAGTGTTCTGGGACAGGCAGATGGGTTGATTTAAGCTGGGGTGGAAGCAAGTGGAGATAAATGTTAGTGATGCTTCTCTCTCTCTCCTCCCATTTTTTCTACTTCAGCAGATCCATCAACTGCTATTGAGGGTAATGAGTAAGGCATGGAGGTGAACACATTACAGAGGGTTGACCTTGCCCAGAAAGAGAAAGAGCATGTTAGATGCCCCCTGAAGCCTGTCCCCCTCACCTGGAACATCATCAGGCAATGTGTGAGGTTTAAATGTTCCTTTTTCAATGACACTGGTAGGTTGATTTCCTAAAAAGCATAAACGGTGTAGTGCTTTCAAAGCTCGAGTACCCTGATATCAACATTGGCTGATACAACATTTGTCAGACATTTTGGGAAACCTTTTTGAAAACAATGTGGTACCACTAGTGGCACAGAATCACATAAAAATGCTGAAATCTATATATTATGTTGCAATTACATAATTGCATAAGCATGTATTGGTGAATTTCACAAAACCTGTCATTTGTCAGTATTTAGGTTACGTTTTAACCCCCAAACCATAGAAAAATATAAATATTAATAATAATAAAAATATTATGCATAAATACAATTTTAGTTATTTTTTTGCATATATTGGTTAATTTTACAAAAAAATAAATTAAAAAATCAAGACAATTGAGCTCATTTTAGTACTGTAATGCATCTGTTTTCTTTCACTTTTTTATATTTTCATTAATTAATTTTCATTGTATTTGTGAAAGATTCATTTTCACATTATTAGTAAACTATTTAGCATTTTTAATTCAAATTAATGACAGATAGAACAAAAATTTACATTTTTTGTTACAGTTTGTGAGAATAATCTTTTGCATTACAACAATAATTAGCAGGTAAAGTGAATGCACACTGCAAAACATCTTATTTTTATTTTTATTACTAACATATTATTTGCTATCATTGAAGTCTTTTATTGCTTTATGCAGAATATAGATTTTTTTTCTTTTGATTTTGTGTTAAAATGTGGGACTCATACTCATGAGATTCACCTACTCTATGCATATTTTATATATTCGTATACCACATAGCTTCATGACAAATGTAGTTCACTGCTTCCTGATTTTGACGTCTGTGTAGGTTTGTGGATTTGAACTGAGAGGTTGTGGCTCTAATGGAGACACAGGTTTATTGACAATGAAACGGTTTGGCTGTATCTGCAGTGGGCTGCCTGCTGCCTGTGATATACTGGAGCCAGAGTCTAGTCAAGGCTGACATACACCATCCAGTGCTGACAGCCACACACACACACACACACACACAGCTGCTCTGAAGCAGCATCAAATTGTAAAACACTGTCGTACATACATACACAGACAGACAGACACACACACAGATTTATATATATATACAGTGGGTACGGAAAGTATTCAGACCCCCTTAAATTTTTCACTCTTTGTTATATTGCAGCCATTTGCTAAAATCATTTAAGTTATTTTTTGTTCCTCATTAATGTACACACAGCACCCCATATTGACAGAAAAACACAGAATTGTTGACAATTTTGCAGATTTATTAAAAAAGAAAAACTGAAATATCACATGGTCCTAAGTATTCAGACCCTTTGCTCAGTATTTAGTAGAAGCACCCTTTTGATCTAATACAGCCATGAGTCTTTTTGGGAAAGATGCAACAAGTTTTTCACACCTGGATTTGGGGATCCTCTGCCATTCCTCCTTGCAGATCCTCTCCAGTTCTGTCAGGTTAGATGGTAAACGTTGGTGGACAGCCATTTTTAGGTCGCTCCAGAGATGCTCAATTGGGTTTAAGTCAGGGCTCCGGCTGGGCCATTCAAGAACAGTCACAGAGTTGTTGTGAAGCCACTCCTTCGTTATTTTAGCGGTGTGCTTAGGGTCATTGTCTTGTTGGAAGATAAACCTTCGGCCCAGTCTGAGGTCCTGAGCACTCTGGAGAAAGTTTTCGTCCAGGATATCCCTGTACTTGGCCACATTCATCTTTCCCTCCATTGCAACCAGTCGTCCTGTCCCTGCAGCTGAAAAACACCCCCACAGCATGATGCTGCCACCACCATGCTTCACTGTTGGGACTGTATTGGACAGGTGATGAGCAGTGCCTGGTTTTCTCCACACATACCACTTAGAATTAAAAAAAGTTCTATCTTGGTCTAACCAGAGAATCTTATTTCTCACCATCTCACAACTCCATGCGGGCTTTCATGTGTCTTGCACCGAGGAGAGGCTTCCGTCGGGCCACTCTGCCATAAAACCCCGACTGGTGGAGGGCTGCAGTGATGGTTGACTTTCTACAACTTTCTCCCATCTCCCGACTGCATCTCTGGAGCTCAGCCACACTGATCTTTGGGTTCCTTCTTTACCTCTCTCACCAAGGCTCTTCGCCCCCGATAGCTCAGTTTGGCCGGACAGCCAGCTCTAGGAAGGGTTCTGGTCATCCCAAACGTCTTCCATTTAAGGAATGGAGGCCACTGTGCTCTTGGGAACCTTAAGTGCAGCAGAAATTTTGTTGTAACCTTGGCCAGA